TAGTTTTCCGCTCGGCACGTTAACAAATAATGTATATATGTATATATATGTTCACTCAAATTTAAGAAACTTATTAATAATTAAAGATTATTACAATACCTCTATCGAGAGGTTGTCTCGCCGCTTCGGATTCCGCGACCTCTACAATGATTTCGAAAATAAGAGCAAGTTATATATTATATCATATTATTATCATCAAAACCATATATATATATATATATATATATATATATATATATATGAAAGGATCGGTAATTACTTGTGAAATCATGATCTTGACGTGGCGGAGTGGCGTGCCCAGAAAGCGGTGGCTCCGCCGCTCCTGACTTCCTGGAAACAACTTCCTCCGGCGCCGCCATTGCCGTTTATTATATATATATGTGTGTGTATGTATATATATAGAGCTAGAGAGATGTAGAGCTCTAATTACCTCTGCAATGGCGGCGAAACGAAAAGAAAGAAAGAAATAAACACGAAGCAAAAAGGGTGGCTACTAAATATGGAAATGGCGAAAGAATTTGATAAATGAAGAATATTTATTGGGTGGGAGAGAGAGAGAACGAAAAACCAGTGTAATTCAAGGTACGTGCTTGTTTCACGCCTACGTTGTTCTTGTTTGTGTGTGTGCGTGTGTGTGTTAGAGAGAGGACCTAATTTATATTTTACGATATATATATGTTAATTTTTAAATATGTTTTAATTATAGTAGTAAGTACGATGCGGAAATCGAATGAATCGAATTGGAATTAATTAACACTTCCGAATTAACATATTCCAAATTTTTTTGAAAGCCAAATTATCGTTTTTCGTTTATGTAAAAAAAAATTGCATTCAGAAATATTTGGATTTGGAGGGGTAGAATTCAGAATTTTTTTTTTATTTAAATATAAAATATAAAATAATATTATTATTAATATAATTTTCCGCAAAAAATGGATTTTTTAGGAATTATTTTTAAAAGTTAAACTGGATCGAAAAATCAAAGGCTCGATCTTTTATATATTTCAATTTCCAATTTGTATACATTTTATTTTATTTTTTCTATTCGAAGTCAAGCTCAAGCTCAAATTGAGCTTCATAGGTTTTCGAATGAGAATATGCACTCAAAATTGGTTCTTAAAAGCACAAATAAAGCTAAAATGAAACCATTAATAGCATTTATTTGAGTTTGGCAACGAAAATATGAAATTAAAAACTTAGGCACAAATTAAATATGAATGGAGCTTCTGCCTAACACAACTCTCTCTCTCTCTCTCTCTCTCTCTCTCTCTCTCTCTCTCTCTCTCTCTCTCTCTCTCTCTCTCCTTTTAAATATCTAATTTATTTGAGAGTTGAATCATAATTTATTTTAAAACCCTAAAATGCCCCTTCCTTACTTAAGAAATAAAGAAGAAATGTTTGGTTAACAATTGAGTAGGGGTATTCATTCAGCAGTATCGTACCGAACCATACTAGAATTTCGGTAGTTAACAAATTTGTAATGTTTACATACCCGAACTGTTCGGTTTTGTACGGCTTTTTACCGAATTAATTCGGTTTTTTTGGTTCGATACGGCTTTTTACCGAATTAATCGGCCTTTTCGGTTCGGGACGGTTAAGTCGAAAATATATTTCAATATATATTTTAGAAAATGTAAAATAAATATATTTAAACTAATTAATTGTTGAATTAATCGTTCAAATTTCAATAATCGACCTTAAAAAATGATTATCAATAGGGACTAATATGTAAATAATGGATAAAATTATCAATCTAAAAGTATTTTATAATTTGTTATAACGTTAAAGAATTTAATATAAAATAAAAAAACAAGTATTTATTAAATATTTCAGTATTCAGTATGGTATATCGGGCATCAATACCGTAATACCGTACCGAAAACCAAAATTCCGAAAAAACTTTACCAACAACACCGGACATCAAAAATTATTCTAATTAATGCGATTATGTTGCCCATAACTTCACATATTACAAACGAGGTCGGAAATTCAAATTTCTTTGATCGACTCCTTGCAAAATTTATTTAAAAGAAAGAAAGCTAATTTAACAAATCAAAACATAATGAAAGACAAGAAAAATATCCAATCAAAAGAAATATCTTAATAGGAATAAGGTGATAGTATGATCCATCATCAACTATAGTTTGTGTTATGACATAATAAATAGTACGATGAAAATTACAAATAACAATTAAAAAAAAAGTATTTTAAAGAAAAAAAAAATGGGAAATATATTGGAAATAAATAAATAAATAGAAAGCATAATAATAATAATAAATTAATAAGCTCTTTCTTTGATGATGTCCAAACTCATCTCACTTGGATCAGTTGCCTGTAACTCAACTTGAATCCCATCTAACTCTCTCTTGATTCTGTCCTTTGAACTTGCATACAGCATCTTTGTTCTCACTGTTGCCCCTTCTGGTGACCTGTCATTTTTTTATTTATTTAAAAAATTTAAATTATATTATGCGTTACCGTACCGGCCGTCAATTCTGATTTATTATATTGTTGGCCCGTAACATAATTTAGGAGATAGAAAACAATCACAACTACTAACACATGATCGAGTATGTATACGACTACAACCATATCGTATGTAACTACGCCATTCTTATGAACGAGCGTAAATATCATGAAGACTAGTTGTTTATCGTTTCTAGGTATTTAGTAAGATGTCGTGCTTAGTAAAAAGATCGAGGCGTCAACTGCACCGATTCATGTTTCGTCTTTATCTATAAATCAAGACTTACGCATTCAACCTATGTGAGCTAAATCATGTATCGAAATGATTTTAGCAAAGGACCACTCCTAGCAAACCAATCGAATTCGTGATAAGGGCCTACGTATTAGAGCCTATAATTGTATAATAACTAGATCAAGAAACGCCGAGTATATAATTCGAATCGTCGAATTAGATCAAATAATTTAATTAATCAAGACGACATATCTTCGCAATCAAATTAAATAAACGGAGGCATATTAGTATACGTGTGTGCGTGTGTGTGTGTATATATTTACACTAGTGTAGTCAGAATTTTAAGTTTGCAAGGGGCGTATAAAATTTTACGAGGGAGGGCCCACAATGCTACCATACACGATTTTTATTTTTTGTATTGTCTATATAAAATAATAGGGATCTGAGAAATGTTGGTGTGTGGGGAGGGGGGAGATGGCCCCCTTTGCCTATATACTGGCTTCGTCACTATGTGTATATGTAAATAATTACGAGCTAGCGTACCATGCAATGAAGTAAATCTTGCTCTTGTGGCAATTCTCATCGGTGGTGAAGTCATAGTCGTAGACGGCGTAGCGGCACTCATTGGCCGGGAGGCTGTCGGCAAAGTCCTGGTAAGACTCGCCCTGCGGGCCCACCTTCTCGACAACGACTTGCTGGACATTGTTGTCGATCTTGAACACAATGTATCTGTGGTTCCTTTTCGCCTTCAGCTCCAAGAATTTCAGCTTGCACTCGTCGTTCACAGCTATTCCCGACACCGAATTCGCCTGTCGACAAATCAAACACAACACACAAAATATAATGAAATATTATTGATGACTGCGGAGCCAGCATATGACCAGAGGTCAAACACAACACACAAATACAATAAAATATTATCAAATATTGGTGGAACCAGCATACGATCAGAGCGCGTATATTAATATTATACATGAAGCAAATAATACATAAGAAATTAATTATGATATACCATTGTTGTTTTGTGGTAAGAAGAGATTGAAGTTTAGATTGAAGAAGAAGAAGAAGATGAATATGGAGAGAAGAGAGAGAGAGAATGGGATCCTTGGTTTTTGGTACAACGTTGGATTTGGAATATTTCAAACGGGCCGGAGAGATTTTTCAGCCTCGTTTTTTATTTTTAGGTAAATTAACTAATGCCACGTGTCTTGTTTTGCTTCGTTTCACAATTTTTACCACCCACGTTTTTCTTTTTCTTTCTTCTTCTATATATAGTGTTTAAATTGTGACTTTATTTATATGAAATAATTAATAATAAATAGAGTGCATGATTGGGGTGAAAATATAATAATAATAATAATAATAATAATAATAATAATAATAATAATAATAATAATAATAATAATAATAATAATAATAATAATTTGCAATTTTCGAACAATATTTTTCATTCTGAATCTCGTAATTCATTTTTTTTTTTTTTTGGAGTTTTTGGATTGAAATTGAAATAAGTATCAGATTCCAATTTTAATTTGAGATAAATTACGGCCACCCCCTATGGATAGAGTTAAATTACGAAAAAAAAAAGAAAAACCTTTTGTTTGGGTAATTACAACCACCTACTTCAACTATGAATCTTTTTACACGTCCATCCTTATAGTGTAAATGTGGAATGTTCTCTAGTTTGCACTCGCTTTGTGTAAAAATACAGTTTCTGATGCATCACTGTCTTATATATACAAGCCATGAGACATATTTTATGATCATTTTGTTTCAAAATATGAAGCTCCAATGGGGTCAAACGGGTACAAACTGGAGAATATTCCACATAATCTAGAAGATTCCGCTAAATTTAACATCGCAATGATGGACGTGTAAGAAAATTCATAGTTGAGGGGTTGTAATTACCCAAATATGAGAGGATTTTCGTAATTTGACCTTACATCGGAGTGGCCGTAATTCATGCTTTAATTTCTTTTCATATAATTTTTTCATTACTACTCTAAATATAGCATCATTAATATAATCTTTTTACCAATATTTTAAATTTGTTAAAAAAAATTAGGATAAATGGCAAATAGGACCATGACAAGGCCACTTAATTAAAAGAGGGACATCCAATTTTTTTGTCTTTCAAACAAATTCAGCTCTTTCAGACTTATTTGCAAGTAAGGAAAATCCTTTTATATATACCAAAATTACCCGCAATTCATTGAAACCCAATTCAACTCCAATTTCATGATTTACATCCCAATTTAGTCCAATTTCATGATTTACACCCCAATTTAACCCAAGTTCATCAATTAACCAATTTTAACCCTAATTTCAATTTTGACCCCAATTTTGACCCGCCATCATCGGAGAACGCCGGTCGCCGCCGTTGACTTTTTTTTTTGTTTTTTTGAAATTTTTTTTTCCTGAATTGTTTTCCAGCCGGTCAACTGTCGTTGACCGCCGGGTCTCCGGCGTTGATTTTTTTTTTATATAATTTTGTTTTTTCTTAAAAAAAATATTTTAACTAATATTACTGTCTTGGCTGCTAAATTACTGTCTCCGACAGTTATTTAACTGTCGGAGACAGTAATTTAACTGTTAATTGACTTTTTTTTTTCTTCAAAAATATTTTAATTAATATTACTGTATTTGTTGCTAAATTACTGTCTCCGACAGTTATTTAACTGTCGGAGACAGTAATTTAACTGTTAATTGACTTTTTTATTCTTAAAAAAAATATTTTTAATTAATATTATTGTATTCGTTGCTAAATTATTGTCTCCAGCAGTTATTTAACTGTCGGAGACAGTAATTTAACTGTTGATTGACTTTTTTATTCTTAAAAAAATATTTTTAATTTATATTACTGTATTCGTTGCTAAATTACTATCTCTAGCAGTTATTTAACTGTCGGAGACAGTAATTTAACTGTTAATTGACTTTTTGTTTCTTAAAAAAAATTATTTTTAATTAATATTACTGTCTTGGCTGCTAAATTACTGTCTCCAACAGTAATTTAACTGTCTTAGACAATAATATTAATAATATTACTGTTCGGAAAAATAATATTCATAATATTACTGTCCCAAACAGTAATATTACTGTCCCAAACAGTAATATTACTGTCTGAGACAATAATGTAGTAGCCAAGAGAGTAATATTAATTAAAATATTTTTTCTAAGAAAAAAAAATTCAAAAAAAAAAAAAGTCAACGCCGGAGACCGGCGGTCATCGCCGGAATCTGGCCGAAAAAAAAACATTTCAGAAAAAAAATTATTTTCTGAAAAAAAAAATTTGGGGGTTAATTTGATATATTTGTTTAAATCCGGGGTCAATGTGTAATATTAAGGAAGTTAGAGCCTAATGGATGGAATTGATAAGAATTATATTATAGATGGTACTAGTATTCACCCGTGCGATGCACGGGGCGACATATTTTTGACTGAAAATACATGTCTCAAAAATAAATTTAAGCAGATAACAATTATTACGGTCACTGAATCTAAGTACATAACGTAATCGACCAACGATAATAAAAATATGTTATAAGTGTCATGTTCTTCATAGTTATAATATGAATACTATTAAATATTAGTATATCGTCAAAAATAAATCTTAAAGATAATAAAAATTACATCGAGCACCCTAGGGAAATGACTGAAAATAACATCGCACCGGGGAAAATATATAGATAAGAAACACCTGCAAAAGAATAAGTTCTTTAAAAATAAAATAAAAAAACATGTTACATGAATAAATGATAAATATGAAAATATTTTATACCTTCAAATTCGATGAAATACTTCCTTGTACACGACATTTCTAGTAACATTGGTGAGTTCACCCGAATCCGACTTGATGAATATCTTAATGCCACCTCTGCTCTTAACTCTGGACACTACAACATATAGTTGACCATGGCTGAAGACAGGCCTAGGAAGATACAAACCAACATGCGAAAGAGTTTGGCCTTGGCTTTTATTTATCGTCATTGCAAAAGAAACAATCAACGGAAATTGTCTTCTCTGAAATTTAATTGGCAGTCCGGAGTTAGATGGTATTAAAGTCATCCGAGGAATGAACACCATGTCACCGATATTTTTTCCGGAAAGAATTTTGCAACTCAGAACGTGAATGCCAGTTCTAATAATTTGAAGTCTGGTACCGTTGCACAATCCTCTAGCTTGATCGATGTTTCTTATTAGCATAACGGGTGCACTAACCTTGATCCTCAACGCATGAGAAGGAACTCCGGAGCATCTTATTGTGTTGAGGATTTCAGTCGAATAAATTTCTGCATTATCCTCCGTTGTGTGCTCGTCCCTACACATACTATCTGAGCTCAGGTACACCTTCTCCTCTCCTGGAAGGAGAGACATTAAGTGATCGTTCACAGACTCGACGCATTCATTAGTTGGTGCAAGAATTGCCCTCCCTTGAAAATAATCTCGATCGTACATGTTACTCAACAAATCCGGGTAAACGAATTCGAGTAGGTCTCTGAATGGAGCTTCTGAATCACCAATCAACATGTCATCTGGAATCTCTATCGAAGCTTCACCATCATTGTCTTCCCCAACATCCCCATTACCAACATTCAGTATCCAGTCTCCAAATTCTTTTATCTCATCCACATTAGATGGAGAACAACATGACTGCAATCTCATGTTCTTAGTCAACTTCATGACACGACAGAAATTCCACAGCGGAGAGGAGTTTATCGTAGCATGTACTATGTCCTGCCTTGATGCTTTGAGCACAACTGGTAAAATCTGCCTAAAATCACCTCCAAGAATAACCACCTTACCACCAAAGGGTTTGTCAGTCTGTAATATTGACTTCATTGTTTTGTCAAGGGCTTCAAAACAGTATCTATGCATCATAGGAGCCTCGTCCCATATAATAAGCTTTGCCCTTATGAGCAACTCTGCATGTGGACTTTGTTGCGATATGCTGCAGGTGGAACTCTCATGTACATCTATGGGTAGTCCGAATCGAGAATGAGTTGTTCTTCCACCGGGGAGCAATAACGATGCTATACCACTCGATGCAACGTTAATTACAATCTTTCCCTTCGAACGAACTGCAGCCGAAAGAGTTTTCCATAGAAACGTTTTTCCCGTTCCACCATGGCCATATAGAAAGAACATTCCACCACTGTCATTGGTTACTGCATCCATGATTACATCATAAACCTTTCTTTGCTCATCTGTAATGGAAGCAAGACACTGTTGAAGTTCTCTACCCATTTCAAACCGGTCGTAATCCAGTTCATCTAACACCAATATGTTTTCTGTGTCCTCATATGAGTATTCAATTGGAACTGGCATAGGCGCGTAATTTTGCAGGCTTTTACCATTGCTTTGCAATATTTTTTCTATTTCGGTGAGAGTATAGTTCTTCAAGCTTTCATCCGATATATGTCAATCTTCAACAATAAAAAAATGGATAAATTATGTGCATCTAGTTGAAATCGTACAGAGACAATATTAAAAGAATGATTAATACGTAAAATCTAATTGAATACAATGCCATACAAATTGCCATACCTGGATTTTTATGAAGACGTTGTTGTTTGTAAGCAATACCCTCAGCCAAATTCAACCAACTTTGCCAAACATGTTCGGGCCGACTTAAGCTATTGGAAAGCAGCATAACCGCAAATAACCTTCTTATATAATCCCCCGATGCCCAAGTATTCACTTCTTTTATTGCATCTATGTATTCTTTGTCGTCATCTAGCAAACCCAACACATTACATGCATCCCTGAACGTAGGGTAGATGATGTCAAAAACTTTTCTGATGTCCTCGTAGCACGTGCATCCCCTTTGAATGTTAAGTAGCAACCTAAGGTAATAGTCTTCCCCCTTTCCAAGGGGAACATTCGCAATCCTACCGATAGAAAATCATTTTTTCCTTGGCGCCCAAGTTCGAGAATCCTCTTTATACACAAATTGTTGTGGAAAATTTTCGTACCACAAGTCCCTTGCATGTGGATAGTTCTTGTTGGCCTCAAACCACGCCAGGAACATAGTTTGCTTGGCAGATGGCCTATCCAACACACTTTGTAACGACTGGTTTTCATTGAAGACAATTGGCTGATGATCGGGGAGATGAAAGCTTAGCCTAATTACGGACGGGTCTCTGTAATTAATATCAAAGTTAAACAACCTCCACATTGCCTCACACACCGAAAGATATCTACAGTCGTAGTACATCTTTATCTCATCACGAATCTCAACACCGCCATCTGTATTGCGTGTCTCATAAAATGCCGTTGTGACTCGGTCATGCCCCTTGTTTACGTATTTGAACAGGTATTTAATTGACTTGTTTTGGTTGCATAGCTCGATATTAATGTGAGCTCGGTATTTACTCAACAATATACGATTGTAGGGGACCACAAATCCATTATCAAGAGTAGTCTTCTTCTTCGTAACTGTTCTGCCATCTTCCCTTCTCCTATACACTGTAAATCCATCTGCATCTGATTCAGTGCGCTGCACAAACGACTTTGGAAATCACTCCGTGCAAACTCTATCTTTCATACATGGAGATTTCAAATTCGCCTGACCGCACGGTCCATGTATCATATACTTCTCCACCAACTGGTACATCTTTCTGTCGTTTTCTTCGTCAGGAATTTCAGCACATATGATCCTGTCAATTTCTTCTGGATTCTTGGGCTTGTCGTCATTCTGCAACCACAATAAAATATGTGCATACGGTAGACCTCGTTTCTGAAATTCAATTGTGCATACATCTGCATAAAAAATGTAAACATACGGTATTAAAAAATATGAATTAATTTAGTTAATGAAGCAAAAAGTAGTTAAACTCGCACATGACTAAATTATCTAATTTATATAAACGTATTAAATGTTTAATTATAAATGCATATGTAATTAAATACTCACATGCTCTAATACGTCCGAATATGCGGCCCTTCTTGATTTCCGTCATCATACTATCGAGCTTCATTTTGAACACACGACACAAAATGTCTGGCCGATCCTCCGGCCTGAGATTTGTATCTTTTAACACTCTTTGTATTTCTGGCCATTGGGGATTGCATGTGATGGTGATGAAGAGGGTTGGAAATCCAATCCAGTTACATATTTGAAGAGCATCAACGAAGTTGTTAAACATATACCTTGGACCTGCGGTGAACGACCCTGGAATTATAATGCGTTGTCTAACCGATTTACCCTCAGTGTCTCCTTTAAAAATCTTTTCTTCGATACCCTTGTACATGTCAACCCTAAGTTGATCCTGATTGAACCTTATGAAATTCAACCTCTGTGACTCAACCATCGAAAATCCATCAACACAAAAATGCTGAAATAACTTCTTGGAATGCAAAAGTAACGAATGTTCTCCATGCCGTTTCTGAATTAGGTATGCAAAGAATTCTCGCATGCTTACCTTCCTTCGTTTTCTATTATCAGCAAATGAAGATTCTCTCAAACTGATATCGTCTCGATAACCATCTTCACCGTAAGGAAATAAAAGAGGATACTGTAGAGGCAAGTAAAGAGGATGGAGCTCATTGATTCGTTGAAGCTTATTTGAGCGCGTCTCAACTACAATATCCCTAACACCCTCTTGTGTGTCAAAGTCACCAACGATCAAGCCTGCTATTTCACTTGCGTTAGGAAGATTGTACGTCCTGCCATCAGTACTGCGACTCTTTACCAATTTGAGTTTTACTCCTTGATGGCCATCATTGGAAAAACGATCTCGAACAGCACGGTAATGCTGTGCAAGTACATTGTTACCATCAATCATATCTTTCAACGATGCAACGATGGCTGGGTCAAGATTGTTAGATTGATTTCCGGACCTGTCAAATAAAAAATAATGTAATTATAATTTGTAAGCTCTATATTCCTTAGAACAGGAATATAATTCCGAAAAATTTACCTGACGGCATCAATTCGATTCTGAATCTCATTTTCTGTGTCGAAAATGTAAAGTTGGGCAAACTTAGGCCTAGTGCCTTCTTCCGGCAATAAACTGCCTAGTAGATGATATATGTTGATATTTTAAAATGAGCTTTAATCTATGAATAAATGATATATGTTGATATTTTAAAAATATAATTGATTTAAGTTTACATTGCATAAATTAATACTCTTTCTATAATCAAAATATTTCAAAATATATGAGTATTTAAAATAAAGTTAGAAAATACACACACTATATTCATATCAATATTTAATTATTACAGTCCACGGATTTCATAATTAATGTCAAATTTAATAGAAAAAAGACTAAAAATCTTATATAGATGATTAATATATTTGCCTTAAATAATGTTATTTTATTGAAAATATCGGATCCTATTACCATAAACACAACGCGAGATTAAAAAACATAAATATTAATATGCTTTAGTAGAATGTAAAATATTTAATTTCCATATTGAAAGAGGCATTTACGTGTGAATAAGTTGGTTACTAAACATGTTATAATAATTTATTATTGTTAATTTAATACATGTAATTATAAAAAGTATTTTAACCGGTATTAATTTATCAATTTTATTTGAAAATATATATTAACACATGGGTGATTAATCTGATTCATACGTAAATGTTTCATAAAATATATTACGTAGATCGTAGAATATAATAAAGATTATTATATTTATAAATACAAATATTTTACGTAAAAATAACAATGTTATCTATATGGGTACTCTCTTTCGTATGTCAATGTATAATCTTTGTAACTCAATTAATGTTCAAATATATAAACAATTTTATTAATATGCATAATTCATTTTGGCATAAATGAATAAATACGTTTGCCGCATTAAAAAACATAAGTAACTTTATTGAAATAAGCTTCATGCAAAAGTAAAAAAACATATTGTTCTTTGGTATTTCACTTTTTGTTATTCATTTCGATTTCCTTAACTTTATTTAAGGACATTGTCTCAAAATAAAAGAAACATATTGTGTCTCTAAATACGAAATACCAAAGAAAATCGATATGAATAACAAAAAATGACGAATAAATTTAAATAATACATTACTCAATTTTCTCTTGTTCGATATTTTTCAATAATTTGGTGGATGATTGTTGGACAGTAGGATCATTGAGAATACTATCCAAAATACAATCGTTGGATCGCTTCATTGGAGTAATAGCGTTGACATCATCATCCACAATAGCATTAGTTGTGATATCACCATCCACAACGCCATCGTTGAAATTAGAACACGTTCCAGAGTCCTATAAATTAGCAAAGAATTACGTAAAATATTTGTCTATTTGTGAAACATCTCTTACGTGCAACATATGAACAATTAATCAAAAATAAATTGTCGACCTTTGATGAGAAGACACACCCATCGTTGTCATAATTGACACTCAACGACGATGAACCATTATCATGTTTCTGCAATATTATAAAATACATACACATTCAAAAGCACGTATTAAAATAAAAAGAAAGAATTATATTAAAGTTAATTATCAATACCGCATCCATTTCGTAATGCTTCAAAAATGAAGCAATGATAGCATCATCTGTGCAAATATTTTGAACATTGTAGGTTTTATGATCTTCATTGGCAACACTATCACCCTTGATAGCAATTTTGAATAACATTCTTCGATCAGTTAACCCCTCAAGTTCCATAGGATACTCCACAAGTTCTTCTCCCTTCATAGCATTACTAAAAATACAAAATTAATTGATTACTCTAAAAAAATGTATATTTTAGATTAAAAAAAAAGGATGAGTGGTTGATCAATGTACGCTGTTTTGGACTGTTTGAATTAATGCTTCTACAGGAATATCTAGCATCCTTTCAGCTTCTTTCCCAAATACAATCATCGAAGCTGAATTTATATCGTCCATGACAATGACTTCAACTTTATAACTAAAGAGAATAACAAAATGTGAATGAAAAGTATTTGTAGAACAGTAATATAATTAACCCAAAGAAAAAAAAAAAATAGTACATACGTTGGCTTAGCAGTAGGCCAATGAGCTATGCAAACGTGACAATACCACATTTTTGAATCCTGTCTAGCAGATCTATTACACTTAATGCAACCATTGTACCACCACTTTGATGTTTTCACAAGACCCTTAATAGTGGCCAATACAACATATTTGTCAGGCTAAAATGTGAAAACAAACATCAGTTAAGTATAGTTATAATCAATTTTGATAAATGATTCCTATTAGTATTTTACTGAAAATGTACGAATAAATAATGTAGCAAATACATCGTTATTACCTCATTTGTGTCACTCAGTTCGTCCAAATTTTTTCTGACAGTCTTACGTATGAAATCATCTTCCATCGAGTAA